AGGAAAAAAACCCAGTGTGAATTACAATACAATTCCCCTTATTAAGTTTCCCGAATGCAGATCAGTATTTGTAATTCACATTTAAAAGAAACAAACAGGGCGTCAACTCAAACACGTGTATACACAAAATAACTTTTGGAGTAGTAGGAAATCATATATATATATATATATATATATATATATATATATATGTGTGTGTGTGTGTGTGTGTGTGTGTATGTGTATTTGATTTCACATTTTCCTTCATAAAGACCCACAGAGGACGAAATGCGTCGGCTAAGATAAACTTTCCTTTCATCTTTGTCCATATTGTCCTTTTACAGATATACTCTATCTGAAAATTTTCACTTTATATATATATATATTTATATATATATATATATATATATATATATATATATATACACACACACACACACACAAATATGTTAAAAAAGTTAATGGCCAGAGTTGAATTAGACCAGGAAACAGCAGTATTTAAATACACATATAAAAAGATAAAAATTTAACATGTATAGCATTTAAGTATAAAAAATTAGGAACAGTATTAATAAGACTTACCGGCCTGAATGTTCGTGAAATTTCATAGAAAATATGTTCTCCGGCAGGAATCGAAATTTCTACGAAATGTTTGGACATTCAGGCCCATAAACGTAATTAATACTGTTTAATTAAAAACAGAGCATTTACTTAAATACATTGTATGTATAAAAATAACGTATAAACAGAAAAATATATTAAATAATTTATATATATATATATATATATATATATATATATATATATATATATATATATATATATATATATGTGTGTGTGTGTGTGTGTGTGTGTGAAAAATATAGAAAATATAAAGAACTCGTTAGGTAAAAAATAATATATATATATATATATATATATATATATATATATATATATATATATATATATATATATAAATGAAATAAGCTTGTGTTGCTATATACCTTTCTCCACTACTCTAACATTCATGCTGTGATGGCAGTCTTCAGGTGTAAAATAATTATATCTGTACATAGTAACACAAACTATTTTATTATTTGATAAGCTCTGTATTTTACCATTGAGCAATTTGGTTGCTTATCTTTGTGAGCGTTAGCGCGCTTTTTGTTAATTTTATTGAACTAGGTATTTACCGTTTTTCCCCACAACCTTCTGCCATCTTTCAACTAACTTCATATTACTATCTTTTCAGAACATTTTATCTTTCTTAGAAAAAAATATTCGAAGTGCCTTTTGCGAGCATCCAGGGAATTTGATTTTTTTTTTTCATTAAACAAAAGAAGAAATGGCCTAAAGACCAGAATAAGTAGTCAGCCGAAAGAGCTATGTCCTTGAATACAACAGATGAGCTAAATCTGCCCAGCCTAACTGTAACAGCATTGGTCTGGTCAGCAGAGAAACAGGCCGCCCAGTGTTAAACTGATGGAATATCATGGCTTACCACTTAACTAGTTTCAGAGGTAAGCTTTTTGTCGATTGCAGCGTTCAAAATTATTGAGAGCATTACTTGTTCGAACCAATCGTTTGGTTTTATTCTAAAATTGGACATTATTTTCCGGACAACCTAATATATTAGAACACAATTAAAAGGTTTATTCTAAAATCGGACATTATTTTCCGAACAACCTAATATATTAGAACACAAAAGGTTTATTCAAAAATCGGGCATTATTTTCCGGACAACCTAATATATTAGAACACAATTAAAAGGTTTATTCTAAAATCGGGCATTATTTTCCGGACAACCTAATATATTAGAACACAATTAAAAGGTTTATTGTAAAATTGGACATTATTTTCCGGACAACCTAATATATTAGAACACAATTAAAAGGTTTATTGTAAAATTGGACATTATTTTCCGGACAACCTAATATATTAGAACACAATTAAAAGGTTTATTCTAAAATCGGACATTATTTTCCGAACAACCTAATATATTAGAACACAAAAGGTTTATTCAAAAATCGGGCATTATTTTCCGGACAACCTAATATATTAGAACGTAATTTAAAGGTTTATTCTAAAATCGGACATTATTTTCCGGACAACCTAATATATTAGAAACAATTAAAACATTTAAAAAAAGGTTTATTAGAACACAATTGGTTTATTTAAAATCGGACAACAACCTAATATATTAGAACACAATTAAAAGGTTTATTCTAAAATCGGACATTATTTTCCGGACAACCTAATATATTAGAACGTAATTTAAAGGTTTATTTTAAAATTGGATATTATTTGTCGAACAACTTAATATATTAGAACTCAATACAAAGGTTTATTCCAAAATCGGACATTATTTTCCGAACAACTTAATATAATTATCCTTATGTGTCTCAAGTCTGTTGAATAGCGAGACTTTAGCGATATCTATTTTATGTCATGATGAAACAACTGCTATTAATCAAGATTAATGTGACTTTCATTCAACCAAACTCTACGTAGTCTTGGAATGAATTACACTTGTTAAATTTGTGCGCTAAGTATCTGCCATAAAATTCCTCAAACACTGCTGTAGCAACTGGCATTAATTGATTTCAACACCTTGTGTTTCTTTTTTAATAGAGAATATTGCATTAACAATATTTTGGGAATGATGATGATTTTTTTCAGATGTAAGTGCTACTATTTAACCCATAGCTGGGAGAAGAGATGGATTCAAACCTTTCGCAAGGCTATTTGCGCATAAGTGAACGTAACGAACCCGACAGAAATTCGAACTTCGCTCGCCAATTTCTCATTTCCTCTAACCATTACTTCAACCCCGCATCCGTAGCAACAGGCAAGATCTTAAATAGCGTTCTGAATTTTGAGATGTTGCTCGAGTTGAGATATAATTCTAAATATTTGAGATGTTAATAATCCTGTATTTTTTATCATTATTTTTACTATTTTTTTCTCTCAAATATTCGTCCGGAAAATGATGTCATAACAGAATCAAAATTATAAATTCTACAGACTTTAGCATAAAAGCAAGAGAATAAAATCCAGAAAAATACATAGTCCGCCTAAAGTACCTGATAGTGCAAAGTATGAAGACAGGCCAAAAACTTACTCGACACCGGCCAAGAATTTCAGCTGAAAACTGTTAATGAACGACCCACTTGAAAGTGCGTCTTTGGTGGGTACAATCTGAACGACATAAAATTTTCACTTGACATCATGTTGATGGGAGAGACAGAAATAAAACTACAAGAATTTTGGAATAATACTACAGTGTAACCCGGATATAAGAGAGTTGTCGGGACCGGAGAAGAAGTCTCTTATATCCGGGTTTCTCTTATATCCGGGTTTGGTCTATTTTATATACATTAACACTGGCTCTAATTTGGGACCAGAGAAAATCTCTCTTATATCCGGGTTTCTCTTATATCCGGGTTTCTCTTATATCCGGGTTACACTGTATTAGGAAAGTCGCAAGAAAGGATTAACCATCAATTGGAAGAAGAAAGAGTGTATTGTCGTTAGCAAAAGGGACAACTCAAGATGCGAGTTATGAATTGGGGACGTCAGAACCAAGCAAGTATAGAAACCTAAGCATTTGCGAAATGTTTCGGCACACTACGGAAAATGTGACACCGAATCCGAAAGGGGCAGTGGAATTACGAAAGATGTCTGTCAAAAGCTAAGCAAAGTATTAAGAAAACAGGAAAATTTCATTACAAACAGAGAAAAGAGCGCTGAACTGCTTCGTAATATCTATCCTACTATATAGTAATGAAAGCTAACAATGTATTAAGAAAAAAGGAAGATTTCACTAGAAACAAAGAAAAGATTACTGAACTGCTTCGTAATATCAATCCTCCTATATGGTAATGAAAGCTAAACTAATATGAAAGACGCGTTGGAATTACGAAAGGTGACTGTCAAAAGCTAAGCAATGTATTAAAAACAGGAATTTTCTTGAAATATTCCTCAAATAATTGATATGTTGTTAAATTAACCATCCTAAAGTAATGTAACAAATTTTGCAGCTTTGTTTCAACCAAAGCTAAAGTAAGTAAATCTTTTAATCTTTGAGTATTAGTTAATCTCACCCAATATCATGATTACCGTGATTTTGGCTGTGAGACGCCACAAAGTGAGTTTGTACATTGTGTAACCCATCATATTCACAATGACCCAGTGAGCAGATACTTCATGTCTGTTTATCTACAAGCATCGCATCACCCAGGTCTGTCAACATCTCTTAAAGTTCATATTAATCTTCCTGCAACTTCTGGCTTTTTTCAAAACTAATATAACGTTAAAAGGGAAGACATTTATGGCCGTGGACGAAATTGAAGAGGACACGACGAGGTAGCTGATGGCAATGACGAAAGAGAACTTTGCCGTTTGTTATAAAAACGTGAAAAGGATGCTCATATAGTGATTTTCCAAGCGTAGCTTAGATGTGGCACAAGGCCGAAAGTAGGGGGCACCCAGTGAGGATCGAACTCACTACTCAGTCGTAATTGTTCTAGCGAGATAAACTTGCTAACCATTACACCGCCTCAAGGCGCCCAAAGGATGCTCATATAAGTGTATGAAGTCTCAATAAGAGTATTCTGAAATGAATTAAGAGGCAATTACCCTATGTAGACAATTTTCTCTGTAAAGTTTGAAGACATACCACGTAAATTTATCAGTGATTCATTAATTGTGGTGGCGAGTGAATTGTAAACTTCTGAAAAGACTGATGTTGGGCCTTGTATATTGAACAATGTAGATTGATTGATTTGTTTTCTACGGCTTAAAATCCCTTGCAAGTTATTTAAAGCCAGAAAATATTTTTAGGTTGTAAGAATTTTTTGGAGGTAATACTGGTCTTGTCTTACTAATTAACCCATAGCTGGGTGGAGAAGAGGTGGAATCATAGTTTTTCCAATTGTATTTGCGCTGAATTGAATGTAACAAACCCAACGGGAATTGGAAGTCGACTCTCCAATTAACAGTTCCGAACCATTATCCATTACATGACCCGCCCATCCAAGCTTGCAGCACCTGATATTCTCAAGCGGTTACTCATCTAAGTACTGACCAGGCTCGACGTTGTTTAACTTCGGTGATCGTACGGGAATCGGTGTTGAACGTGATATGGCCGTAAGCATGTAGAACTTTCACATCACAACAAAATCAGGGTTAGGATAGAATGGTTAATTTAGTTGGATTTGTGCTGCCAAAATGTCTGGGGAATACCAATCGTGCACACGAATCAAATATAGTAAATACTTTTGCTGATACCTAAGATTGCCGTACCCACACTCTGAGACAGGTTGACAAGGACACCAATTCGAAGGAGATGGCGGAAACTAGATGCTAGTGTAAGTATTTTTTCATGGTGGAATTTCCTTTTGCCTAGTACCTCGTATACTCCGTTTCGATACTAAGGACAAATCGAGAGAGAATAAGATGAGATAGTTTATGTTACGCTAATCTTCCAAGCCAGGAAAAGATTACGCATCTGGAAAATCAGCATTTCAAAATCTAGCTTTTAACTGAGTCCGAACACAAAGCTCCTACGCCCTTTCTCTCTTCTATACACCATTTCCCTTCATGACGTTGATGATCATGACTCTCCATAACTTCCTATTTATTTTTAACACTCAGCAATATTTTGTCATTTTACTGTTCCCCCATTCCCTGTTCTGCCATCTATTTTCAAAAATTTGCTAGGCAGGTGTTATATACCGTACCCGTGAACACTAATGCATATGACCCAATCCTCATAAATACGTTAGAGATTATTGTAAGTTGGGGTAATATGTTGTCTAAGTAGTCCACCACTAGCAGTGGTTTACCTACTTCACGCCGTTGGTGAGTATTGTATTTTGTTGATGTTATAAAGATTATCACTTAATTTCCAACCTCCATTTTGGTTATTCCTCATTCAGTAACCCTTCCTAGGTAACAACTGTAGGCTATTCTTTATTTCTCTATGTTCTTGCTTTCAGTATATCTTGTGAGTGTTAAATTCTCCAAGCCCTCTTTTCTCATTATGTGCGCCAGAAATTTCAATTATCACTTTCTGATTCTAAATGTCCCGTTTGTTTCCTTTGTTTCCATCTCCCTTAAAGCTTCTTCGTTGCTTACGTGCTCTGCTCATTGTACTCTCAGCATCCTTCTGAAGAAGCACATGTCTGTTGCCTCAAGACTTCTCTCCATCTTTCAGGAGATTGTGCAGCATTCACATTCCATATAGGAAGATTGATATTAAATTTCCCCGTTTCTTAATACCATGTTTAGTTTTTGGAAGGCATCATTTACTATTCAGATTTGCCTTCGGATTTCGATGTCACGTTTTCTGTTGTCTGTTAAAACAGTTCCCAGGCGTTTGAACATTTGTACATGTTTAACTTTTTAGGTCTTTTAGGTCTACAGTTTCTAGTTCCCACTGTTTCTCTTGTCAGCAAAAGAAACAGCCTCTAGCACCGGTGTTTAATACGTAAGTATGAGACAAACCGCAAAAAATAAAGTTAGATGCAGGTCACCTAGTGAGAATCGAACTAACTATAATGCTAAAAGTCTGCGAGACCAGCTAATTGACCAGTACATCACGGAGAGGTACTGTATACTTCAAATTTTAATCATCGTTGGCAGAACTCGTTGCCGTGTATTGGAGTACTCATCGACATTTCCTTCTGCGCGAAATGAGTCCTATGTTGGATTTGAAGAGACGTCCGCAGACACCGCATAGCAGGATAGAAGAGTTCAGGGAATGGAGAGTTCAGGGAATGGAGAGTTCAAGGAATAGAGAGTTCAGGGAATGGAGAGTTCAGGGAATAGAGAGTTCAGGGAATGGAGAGTTCAGGGAATGGAGAGTTCAGGGAATGGAGAGTTCAAGGAATAGAGAGTTCAGGGAATGGAGAGTTCAGGGAATAGAGAGTTCTGGTTTTTCTTTTGATTCTCTTTGTTTCTTCTATTTGTTTTCTTGTGTTTTCGAACGATGTTGTCTTTTAGTGGATTGTCCTTCTCTAATTAGTGCTCTCTGCAGCTTCCATTTCCCAATTGACCGAACCGATTTCTGTTCACAGCAAGATGTCTTTGAGATGACGCTTGAGTCGACGGCGTGGGGCTCCACGTAGTCTCTTGCCAGATGCGATCTCCGAGAAGAGGATTTGTTTGGATAATCAGATTTCTTGCATTCGGACAAGGTGCCCACCCTATCGAAGTCGGTGGGGAGTCATGATAGTTTCTAGTTTCTCAATGTTTGCACAGAGAAGAACTTCGTTTCATTTGATGGAATCGTTCAAGTTTGCTGCTGTTTCTTCGGTAGAGTACACAGCTCTCACAGGGATACAGGAGAGTCGAGATTACAACAGCTTGTGTTTGCCCAGGATAGCTGAAGACTCTTTTGAATAGCTTTCCGCCATGGTATGGAAAGTGTTCAACATTCTCCAGGTCTAGTCCGTTGATGTTGATTTTGGTTCCAAATTTTAATACGAATAGTATCGCTCAAACCATGAGTACTAAGGCTCGTACGAACTAATACTGGATCCTTGGGTAACAAGTTAATTTGTAATAAAACAGGCAATGAGTTTTACGGAAGTGGTCATTATAGGTAACCGTTGTTAGCCTTTCATATAGAGATTATTATGACAAAGTACTTGTTTCTAGAAATGTTTTGGCCCTTTAAATTAGAGGACTGATCCAGTTTGCCTGTCTAATTTGTTGGAAATAAATTTCAAACGTCCAAACATCCGAGACTGTCTTTTTGCAGAAATTTATTTTTTAATAAACTGCCTGCATAACTGACCGTCATTTTTTTTTTTGCTTTTACTAAATGCAGACTCACTTCCTCTTTGTAGTACATTGGAAACGAGAACAAAAACAAAATTAATAACGTTTATGAATAATAACAAAAAGACTGTTCCAGTTTTCTTTCATTTTTAAAATCATCTACAGAAGTTTGTGAAAGGAAGAAGAAAAAAAAGATTTTCTTAAGGAAAAACGAAAACGAATGAAAAATTATTTGGAGAAATGAATTAAAACAGAATATAAAAGCAAAAAAAATAATAATAAAAAAGTACAGACAAAATAGAGAGAGAGAGAGAGAGAGAGAGAGAGAGAGAGATCGGCGCAAGAGAATGTTTCAAGTTGTCAACATCCGGGTAACGACATCCGGGCTCTGAACATTCATAGCGCCGCGCGTTTTCCAATTCCCCGACAAAGCACCCTCACCCCATCAATCAATAAGAAGATAATTAGAGCCACGGAAGGGGGCGACAACTCGACAAATGAACAAGCGATTATTTCTTTTTATTGGGTCCGAGAACATCTCATAAACCCGCCACAATGCGAACGCATGGAATGGGACGTACGGAGTGAAACGGCTTCTGTCTTTTGTAACTAAAACTAGAACACATCGTTAGCCTTCTTCTCATCCGTCCATTCCGTGGTTTCGTTGTCCAGAATTTTTATTTACTTACTTTTTCTTTTCTTCCGTGTTGCATTGGAAGTTTCAACAACGGTTCTATTTGTTTATGAATACTCCAAGCATTGACGAATTTAATGTCGTGACGTCTCCATTATTTTGAGCCCTGTCGAAGCGGGGTGAGCGAGGAAATGAACGGCTGGAACTGGGCAGGGACGAAACGGTTCAGTAGAATGCGTAAAGGTTTGGTAGGTAGGTGTACAGATTGATAGATATACAGATCTGGCAGTGGATAAGTGTATAAAACTAGAAATAATACGTGACGAAGAGACCATCTGTCTATTACGACAAAGATGGACTCATACGTAGATAAAAAGATAAACAACGGAAAAGAGAATTGGACATAGAGTAGACATGTGAGACAGATCTATACATGCATTGACAAACCGAGAGAGAAAGAAAGAGAGCGTGTGAGGGAGAGTGTAAGTGTGTGTGTGAGAGAGAGGGTGTGTGTGTGAGAGAGAGAAAGAGAAATAACGTAAGAAAACTAAATAGAGACTTAAATGTATAGATATTTTGCATTTTAAGATATAAAGAAAGGGGAAGAGAAAAGAAGAAAAGAGAGAAAAGGGAAGTAGAAATTCAAAAAGAAATAATATCGAAAAAAGAAAGAAGGGCGACGAGAAAGTAGAAAGTAGAAAGAAAGAAAAAGAATGAAAGTGATTGAATAATGAAAGAAACATCTAACCATCCAAAGAAGGGAGTAAAGAAGTAAGAAATAAAACCATGAAGAAATAACTGAAAGAAGACAACTTGAAGTACAAATAAATAATGAATGAAAAATGCATGAATCTATTAAAGAAAGAAATAGCCATAAAGAGATAAGTCGAAATAGACACAGGTGAAGCTATACAAAGAAAGAAAACAAGCAAGCAGGCAAGAAAAAAAGAAATGTTTAAATAACTGAAAGAAAAATGAAAAAGGGAAGAAGACATAAAAGATAAAATGGGAAGAAAGCAAAGTGAAAGTGAAACTGAAACTGAAAGTAATCATGTAAAAATGAAAGCAACACTGAAGCGACGAAAGAAAACAAAAAGTCAATATTCAGATTAATGTACTGACGTACAATGCAAGAAAGGCAAAAAGAAAGTTAATGACATAAAACTGAATGAAAGAAAGAAAAGAAGAAATGCGTGTAAATAAGGGGACGAAAAGACATTCGATAAAATTAATGTTAAAGAAAGAAAACAAAATAAAAATGAGAATGAAAAGCAAAAAGGGTAAAACGAAAGTGAAAGGAGTGGCACAGAAATACAAGAAAGAACGAATGAAAGGAATGCATGTAAATAAACGAATGAGAAGACATTCTGATAAAATGAACGTTGAAGAAAGAAGAAAATACGAAAATCAATAAAGAAAGAAATAAAAACAAAACAGTAAAACGAAAGTGAAAGTAGTAAGATTAAAGAAAGAAAAAAAGAAAGAAAAGGTAAAAAAAGAATCCATGAAATAAGGGTTATAAAATGAAGAACGCGAAAGATTAGACAAAGAATTCAAATGAATGAATGAATGCGAAGAACCGGTTCTGGTAATGTCTTGGTGTCGGCCATTTTCCTTGTTCTTCTTTCGCCTATTAATCAGTGATGCATGTGTCCTACGTTTGTTCATCTCAACAGACATACATTGGTTCCATTGTGGACGGGGCCATCTGTAAAACATAAATCTTTTCACCCTGCTTCCAGCCAACATCTCTGGTTACTCCCACATCCTTCTGTCTCCGGCGCCCCTGCATCTTTTTTTGTCACCCCACACCCTGCTGTTCTCCTGTGACTGCAAGTCCGAGCGTACGAGTTGCCAGTTCCCCAGCCCCCGATTTCTGAATATGTAAGGCTGGGTTTTGATAGTTTTGATGGGAGACAATTTTATCATTGTTTGTGCGACGAGATAATTTTGAGTGCATGTTGTCACCTGAAAATTCGCCTAACTCTAGTTATGAAGATAATCTGAGTTAAGCCACACACACATCCACGTCCACATACACGCATCAGTTCTGATATATATATATATATATATATTATTATCCGCATATATAAAGCGTAATGTGTATCCATAGAAGAGAGGGCACTAAAAAGTTTCAGCTAGACCCACTTTCCAAAATCTGACCAAAACAGATTTTTAAAATCCCTTCTTAACAGAGCCTAGAATATTTTGACTCTTTCTCGTACACACACACACACACACACACACACACACACACACACACAGAACATTTACCGGCCCGAATATCCGAGAAATTTCATCGAATATGTGTGTCCTCCGACAGGAATCGAACCTGTATCCTACACGGAACCGTCATATAGCCTGATGTGCTATACCATTTACCATTTGTTTACGTTAAGATACGCTTCGAGCAGATATGAGCGTTCGAGAGAAATCCTGGGAAATTTGTAGTTTAAAAACAGTAATTCGACCTTGCTAACCAGACACTTTCTCTGTAGCTAAATGGTATAGCACGTCAGGCTATATGACGGTCGCGTGTGGGATACAGGTTGGATTCCTGTCGGAGGACACATATTTACTTTGGAATTTTTTGGCCATTCATGCTTGTTAATACTGTTTATAATAAACAGAGTATTTACTTAAATAGTTGTATGTATAAAAATAACGTATAAACAGAAAATATATTAAAATAATTGTCAGACTTAGTCCATTTCATAACAGTTTTAAATTCCATAACAATTTAATAAAGGCATAAAATGAAACATTCTATATTTTTATTGACCGGTTTACATCATTTGCAGTGAGAAGAATATGTTCGATCCTTGTGAAAATTGCTAATATTTGGTTTTGAATTATCGTTTTGTTTTTGTTCCCTATGTTCGTTTAGGTTCAGTTGCGACTGTATTTAAAACCAGCTTCAACCATAACAAGACTTCCAGATATAAAAAGTATGTTAATCCATCAATGCTCACTATTGAATTTTCAAGACAGTTGGTATTAATAGGTTAGAGGTAGCGATCCATAATACAGGATTTTAAGGTAGGCGTTAATGGGTTAAAGCTAATAATTTTTTCCCTATATTCTTGTTTTATATTCTAAATGAGCTTTAGTGACTCATAATCAAGTCCCTACTGATTTTTTTTTCCAATTTTTGGTAATCAATAGTAATCACTTGGAAAACTTCTACTCAAAAGAACACACCTCATTAAGAGAAGAGTTTTGTCACTGGCCATATATATATATATATATATATATATATATATATATATATATATATTAGTGACTACACATAATATCCAACGTCGATAGCACGACTCTGAGTTTCAATCTTCAGGTGCTGGGTAATAGAATGACCGTTATGAAATAGGCGTTGTCGTGGCGATGATTTTAAAATTGTGTGTTAAGATTTATTTATTTTATTATTGTTGCCTAAAATATTATAATTAATTATAATTTATTTATGTCATTCTAATTCTCAAGTTCGAAAGACGAAGAATTAAAAAAAATAATTTGAAATGAACAATTTGAAATTATAAAATTAAGTAAACACGTCATGTGTCAAGGGGGGATAACTCTCTTTTTGCATAAAATACCATTATTATAACATTTCAAGTACTGTCTAATAAAAAAGAAACTTAGATAACCCGAACTTGCTGAACACGTGAAGCGGACTGATGTCTACATGTATCCACAAAAACAAACATCTGCTCAAACACATTGACCACGATTAAAATAGATTTCAGAATAGATTTTACGAATCTCTATCTATAAAAGGCAGGATGTGTGTGTGTGTGTGTGTGTGTGTGTGTGTGTGTGTGTGTGTGTGTGTGTGTGTGTAACGAATGCATGGCCGCAATTTTCGACGGATTTGCACCAAAATTTACATGCACATGCTCCAAGTAAGCGGGAAGGCCAAGACCGACTTCCATCGATAGTGGAAATAATCGATTTTTTCATGCTTCTACGGCAGTTTTCATGTAGTTTGCGGCCATTTTCTACTGGCCAGAGTGAGAGCCTATAGCTGGCTGCCACGAATAGACAGAAAGATTCTACTGGCCAGCTTGAGAGCCAACAGCTGACTGACACGAATGTTAACTAGCATGCAAAAAAAATCGATAGCTTCATTCGTCACAAGTGGGAAAAATTTAAATGTGCATGGCACTTTGCTCCAGTTGGCTCATTCGCTTGCTTAAAGTCAACGTTGATTCTGATTCCGCAGAACTGGGTTGGGTGTGAAAAAGTATTTGTTGTTAACATTCTTTTTTCATTCGTTTTTTCCAGTTACGAGTCCTTTTTTAAAGCTGATCGTTTTGTGTTCATTTTGTTTAGTTCTTTTTCGTAACAGATTTAATGTTTAGTATGGAGCCTAGAAAAAATTCGCAGTGTGAGATAGGCAAGAAGTAAGGCATGTAGCAACATCAGCACGGAAAAGGGCCCTCCTTTAAAGACAAGGAAGGGCAAAAATATTTTAAGTCAAGTGATAGCGATTGCTGTATGAGTCGTACGATTTTTGAATCAAGCCGGGCCATGCTGCTAGTATTAATATAATATCTAACACTTATTAATATTCATAGAACCCATCTTTAATAACAATTATTATTTATCAATACATTTTTAATCCCATCTTACAATTAATTTATATCGAGTGAATATGTAATTTCACCTTTGTAAGTATAAGTCTAGGTTCGAAACCCCTTAGATATATAGTCTCAATCTATTATTATATCAACATCGTGAGTGTTTTTAAAGGCCTCTGGATGTTGACTTCAGTGTCCACGTAACCCATAAAAAATAGCATACCTTAAAGCCATATATATATATATATATATATATATATATATATATATATATATATATATATATATATATAATATAATATAATAGGGATAAAACACTAATATTCCATGGTTATAATTTATTACATTGGAATTTACAAATTCAAAAATAATTTTTGAATTTGTAGGTCTGATAAATTGGATCGTGATTACAATTTCAATTTAATAAATTATATCCATGGAATATTAGTGTTTGAGCCTTTTATATTACATTCTTGCTCTGTCCTGAATAGTGAGCTCTACCTGGATTCTACCCTCTTGGAAATATATACATATATATTGACCACTAATATTATCAATATATATACACACACACAAGCACACACACACACACATATATATATATAAGTGAACATAGAAGTCAACACTTAGAGGCGACAGTCTGTTTCATGCTAGATGCAATCGTGGCTTGATGATTGCATATAGCATGAAACAGACTGTCGCCTCTAAGTGTTGACTTCTATGTTCACTTTTATATTTACACACGCTCTATCTCTGATATTGAGTACTTTATCACATAAATATACCACATCTTAAGACTATATTTCTTCATATATATATATATATATATGCAGCATATATTCATTCAAGCATGTTTGCTTGAATAATCTAGGCATAATATGTCTATTTTAATTCTAATCCTCTCAAATTCAAATCTTTTGACTTGAATTCTTGTAGAAACACAGTTCCCCTATTGAATTCTCTGTTAGATATCAAACCCATTATAAGATGGCTGTCCACTTGATGTCGACCATTTTCTTAAATTAACTGTTCTATAATTTGTAAGAAAGTACCTGTAACTCGGTAGGATTATATTTATAGACAAATGTGCAACATGAATATCATTTTCTAAACATCAACTACCATGATCCAGCGGCAAGAATGCTCATGACTAGGTTTTATTTCAGAGTTTTCATCTCTTAGACTGGTTGCTTTCACCAAGTTTGAGAGTTCAATCTATTCTGATCTTTTGTGCCTAGGTACGTGGTCCAATAGCACAGTTTAGTTTTCAGAGGCTCCTTCTCCTACATTGATTGCTTTCACCACGGCTAAGGAATCCTATATGCATTCATTCTCTCTCCTCTCTCTCTCTCTCTCTCTCTCTCTATATATATATATATATATATATATATATATGGTTATACAGTAATGTAAAATAAAACGTGTGCACAAAACGTATTTTATTGTTTATACAAATATATAAATAATAATATATCGATAATCTACTTTTGCAACCTCTATATATATCGATATATTAGTTTGTGTGTGTGTGTATATATATATATATATATATGAGTGTGTTTGCATGTGCACGCGTGCTTAGCACATTTCAAAAAGTGCAATACTACACTGATCATTCAGATCAAAAATCGAACGCACAGATACACTGATACTAGACAGAATTGACGATTCATACAAAAATAATTTCGTTATTTTCCATGGGTTCGATGCTAGTTCGTTAACAAAGAATACTTCTACCCGTTCATATCTCTCAGTAGATAGCTACGGAATTTACTTGGCACAAGGCCTCACTAATGAACATCAAAATTGCTCGCAATAGCTACTACCTAGTGTCATTCTGCTGAAAGTACTTAAATAGATGTACTGACATTTACTCATAACCTTTGTGTATATGCGTGTTTCCACGTATCAATAAAGACACGCAAAGATGTCATTAAAAGCTATACGGGATTTCTACTTGCAGTGAGCGTGGAAAAGATTGTGCATCAATTGATGGACAAAAACGTTATACGAAACGTCATAAAAAACATAACTGTAACGCCACACCTGAGCAACTGTCCTTAGCAGGACTCAAAAGCCACCTTCGTGCTACCAATATTTGAAGATAAGTTAAGCGATGGTATTACTCGAAATCGAGTCACA